AAAACAAAAACTTCACATACAGAAAAAGCAGTGGCATGCATATACTTACAGTTTTACTTAGTGAGACAATAATTACTGAATAAGGTCATTATTAACCTTTTTTCATTGTTAAAATGACTTCAGAGATTTAATTATTAATAACAAAGCCATAAAATGGATATATGCCTGTACATCCTGAAATGGTTATCAGTCAAAACAGAATATACAGTTTCTGTTCGGTTCTGTGTTCTGCTGTTTCAACTGCTACTTAAAATAGCTAAACGTCTGAAAAGATGATAGTTTTAATGTTTGGAAGTTAACCGTGCTATTTTTTTGCTTTTGTGAGCATTTGGTTAAAGCAGTGTTTGCACTTTGACACGGCAAACATCACATCAACAAATTTCTGCTTTTGTGCGGTTAAAGAGGAACAATTACATTCAGCCTCTTCGTTCATTATGTTTATCATAAACAAATAGGCCTAATTCTAGCTCTAGCCTAGTCGTCCTGTAAGCTGATTACTAATCAAGAACATGTGAATGATTTTTATAAAGAATGTCTTATGACTTTAATAACTAAATTTAATAATGTATAATAATAGATTAAAGGTTCATTTACAGCCCTGTGTGTTAAAATGATGGATAATGAGAAACAAATTTAACACGTATTAATCAATAAAATAAAACCATTACATTCAATAATAGTCTGTACCAAATGAAGAACACATCATTTAGTGGGCTTTTACTTATATTTAAGTATTTTTTTATCTAACCCAGGTGAAAAAGAAGTGCTCTTAAATATATTACAAATGTACTTGAAATGTAGATAGTATGTTTAAAGCACAATTAGCACAAAAACCATACTTGCTTAAAGTGCATTCTAAATGTGTTGGTTTGCATTTTAATGTATTTATTATAAAGTATACTACAATTACATTGGTAGAAGATATATTTAATTGCACTTTTTAAAAATACGCTAGAAGTCAAGTATACTATTTATGCATTTTAATGTATTTACAGAGAACACACTAATTTTATTCTTTCTTAAAGTATGTTTTATGTGTACTTTGTATAAGAACATTGTGAAATGGTGCCAATTTGAGTGTGTTTAAGGTATATGCATGTTTTTTTAAATTGTTTTAGACATAATGAAACATTTTTTTAAATAATGCAAGTGAGCATGTGCTTCAGCCTGTATTTCAAAATATGTATGGTTTTTTTTTAAATATATTTTGTAAAGTCTAATAATTCACTCAAACCATGAATATAACGTATTTTTCTAAAATGAAGATATATTTAAGTATTTAAGATATTTGGTCAAGTTTATTAAGTCAAACCTACATGCATTATAAAAGTAAAATATGAAAATGTAGCACTTCTTAATAACTACAATATATATGTAGTTATGTGTATACTTGGAAAATTAAATAACCTTTTTTTGCACTACAAATATATTTACATTGCTCAAAAATATGTTTGCCAAAAATACTCTTAAAGCAATATAATTTCATAATATTACACCTTTCAATACTTCGTAGAGCATCACTATACAGTCAGTTTAAAATAATCCACTTTTAAAACCCAGATTTACATAAGGTACACCTATAACAAAACAAATTACAAAAAAATAAAACAACTGATAAAAGTTTCAGTTACATACGTCCCTGCTGAAAAATCCAGCTTAAACCAGCCTAGGCTGGTTGGCTGGTTTTGACCAGGCTGGTTTTAGAGGGGTTTTGGCCATTTCCTGGCTGGTTTCCAGCCATTTCCAGTCTGGTCTTAGCTGGTCAGGCCTGAAAATGACCAGCTAAAACCAGCTTGACCAGCCTGGTTTAAGCTGGACATAGCTGGTTTTGGCTGGGCTCCCAGCCTGGCTAAGCTGGTCAAGCTGGTTTTAGCTGGTCATCTCCCAGCCTGAGCAGCTAAGACTAGGCTGGAAATGGCCAAAACCCCTCTAAAACCAGCCTGGTCAACCAGCTAAAACCAGCCAACCTGCCTAGGCTGGTTTAAGCTGTTTTTTTCAGCAGGGGCATATGTCATAAACATCCATAATTAAAAGCTCAATGGCTAAAATAAAATATAAAAAATCATTCCACAAAAGGATGTACATTTGCAAATCACTAGTTAAAGCATTTTGAATAAATCACTTCAGTCTCTTTCGATATTATGAGGCAGAAGTATGTGACATACATTTTCTCTGTAAGGTCTACCAGAATGTTGCGTTTAATTCTGTTTGACCAATCAGAGCCAAGCTTTTCAAATCGAAACATAAAATTGTCCAATCCCACGCAGCCATAGAAAGGTAAGCTTATTGAGCGCGAGCAACAAGTTCATATTTGGCGATAACAGGAGGCAGATCGTTTCCGAGGTTTCCGAAATTTTTATTGTTTTATTTCCCAGACTCAAATCTTGTAAAGGTAGACAACACCGATATAATTACACGAAAACATTGACGACAAGGAAAACCTGGTCAGATCGCGCGAACAACTGGACTGTGAAGAGGATTACGTTAGTCAAAGCAGGCACGGGGAACAAAATAAACTGGCAGCGAAAATACTTCTTGGTGGTAAGTTTATTCTTAAGTTAACTAACTTATGTTGTTCACTTTGGCTTTAGAAAATATTTTTCAACGTGGATAGTACATAAGTGTGTTTTCCCTTCAGTATAACGATGGTTACTCAATAAGGAACAACTTTTCCAACGTATTTGCAGACTAAACGATGGTTAACGTTATTACAGTGTGCTGACCTTGTAACGTGCTTGTGATTCGATCTAATACAGTATAATGAATAGCTCACTCCAAACAAATTCTGGATAAACATTCAATATAGACAGCTGTTTTAATGGATACAATATTAAATTATAAAAAGCTGATTAATAGAATTTCATTTTCTTTTCTTTTTGCAAACTAATTCAATGTGTTTTTTTTACTAGTGTATATTACTATATGAACTTCTAACTTCTCCTTATCATTAACTTCCATTGTTTGGACAAATTTATAGTATGAATATAATAAATATATCTACTTATAAGCATTGTGCTTATAAGAATGATTTACTGTGTGTGTGTGTGTGTGTGTGTGTGTGTGTGTGTGTATACATACATACATATATAACAGAATCCTTATTTTACTACTTTTTAATTTTTAATAAAACCTATTGTATGTTGGTTTATTTTCATACAATTTAAACTGACAACTGTACTGCTTTTCTTTGATTTATTTATGTCTAACTGCAGATGTGTACAAAGATTTAATTGTGAAAAAGGGATGATTTCAAGAAGAGAGAAGACATACGGATGACCAGTAAAGGAACAAAGCAAAAAAATAAATAAAAAATGGCTGTTAAGGTATGTGATGATCTTACTATTCCAGATTGCTGTACTGCAGTGGTGGAAAGAGTACTAAAAACATACTGTGCAAGAAAAAAATTATCTGTTGTAAATACTACTAAGTTATAAGTAAAAAGCAGCACTTTTAAAAGTATTAATAGTGCTGTATTACACTGTGAAATATACTCCACCTTATACACTGCAGATTAAAAATGTAGCTTACGTCAGTGCAATTTTCTTTCTCAGTGTAAGGAATTTAATTAGTTGCCATTCTATACATTTAAAATGTGAGAATATAATGTGAGAACACATATATAATATATAATAAGCTGACTGAAAGCAGGTAAATGCATTTCTTGCTGTTAGCTGTGTTAATATGTATATATGTTAATACTTATTATGCACTTTGATCTCTGACTAACAAGTTACCAGTGTCCAGTAGGTGGCACTTCAAAACAAGCTTCTGCAGCACTGATTGAATAGATTCAATTTAGTTATTAAGGCCATTTTTTTTTTATTTCATTTGTTGATTTGGACAATTTTAATAATTTTTACTGTAAATGCTTCAGGACTGATTACTGTATTACTCTAGCCAATTACTATAGACAAGAAAAGTAGTGACAGGTAAAAAGTTGCAGGAGTTACGAGTAAAAGTACAGATACAGGTTATAAACATTTACTTAAATAAAAGCCTAATTAAAAAATAAATAAATAAATAAAGTACAATTATAAAAAAAACTACTTAATTACAGTAAATCTGAGTATTTGTAATAGTCACTAAAAACCACACTGAAATTTTTCATTTTTGGATGGTCAGGAATGGTGTTAAATGTTTATTATGTAAATGTTTTAGGTTGCAAGTACTTCTCAAAGTTCAGCTACGTTTGCAATGGGGAAACAACTTAAAAGAGACCTCAAGAAGCGATACAAAGAAAAAAAAATAAGCTCCTGTAATCTGAGATTGACTTGTTTCAAAACACAGAGTTGAGAAGATCAAGGAAAATAACCGCAAGTAATTTTTTAGTACTAAGTAATTTCAAAGGCACTTAAAAGGTTTTGGAATGTTTTGTAGTCTTGTGGAGGACTGTTGTATATAAATATTAATTTGTTAAACGTGACTGTTTCATAATACAACAGTAATATTAAAATAAAGTGGTATGGTAGAGCCTCTTCTAACCTTCTGTCTGTTTTAACAAATACAGGTGACATTGGATAGTGACAACAAGAAAATGATAGAGACAAGGTATTGGAGAACAGCCTTTCGCAGAGGAAGTCTTCCCAGAAAACCTCTGTAGAGCTTGATGACGACATAGTCAAAGCTTTGAAAGGTAACTTAAGGCCATTATGTAGATTAAAAGTAATTGTGGATCTGTAATGACAGCTATGTTACAGTAGCATGCAATTTTTATTCAAGGTTTTTTCCATCATGTTTTGCACATGAACAATGTACATATGTTTGACATTTTATATTCAGCTTTTTCCCTATAATTATGTCCTATAATTTTTCCTATAATTAAGTGCTTCTGCTAATAACCTGCAGCTTTCACAAGGTAAGTGCTATTTTAGAACAAGAAAATACATACTATATAAAAGTTTTTAAATTACAGCAATGCTTCATTAAAAATAAAGATTTAAATTTAAAAATAGAGAATACAGGGCAGCATGGTGGCTATGTGGTCTCTGTGGTTAGCACTGTCACCTCACAGCAAGAAGGTAACTGGTTTGAGTCCCAGCTAGGTCAGTTGGTTTGTTAATTTGCTGTAGCATATAAGAGTGTGTGTGAATGCAAGAGTGTATAGGGGTTTCCCAGTACTCGGTTGTAGCCGGAATTAATCATTTAATTATTACAATTTTAAAGGCCTTCCTGGAATTGTAAATTGTGTGTGCATGAGAAGAAGTTCATCTTACAGCAGTTCAAGCCTGAGTTCTAGTGAGTTTCCTTCTGCTTCATCAGAAAGGGTAAGACAAGATTTTTTCACAATATTTTTTTAAGCGGCCTTTTTGTGTATTCATGACCCCTTAAATTTAGTACAATAACATAGTTTTCACTTGTAATGTTGTATAAATAATTTTATAGTACTCTTTGACATTACAGTGTCAAAGAGGATGTATGATGTATAAGAGTGAATAAATCAAGAGTTTCACTTTTCACCCAAGAATTGGCCACATTAATTTTTGGTAAAGAAACTCTTAGGGTGCTTTCACATCTGTAGTTCGCTTCATTTGGTCCGGACCAAGGGTAATAAATGATGCATTGTTGCATTTTCTGCCGTCTTTGGTCGTTTTCACACCACACTGCTGGCTTTGGTCCGAACCAGTTGAAATGAACCAAAATGCAGTCATCTGACAAAATCCACATCTCTCATTGGCCAGATGTTGTTGAACATATTTCCTAAACTGCTTATTGATTGGTCAGAATTCACGTGCGGGAAAATGGCAATGAACTCCCTCAGGCAAACAAAACCTTCTACTCTGGTGGGACGACTGCACTGGCTGATTGTATCCCTGCTTTAGACAAACTATACATTACGAAAATAAAGTGCGGCCGCGGCTGGAAAATAGTGTTTAATGCATCACTCGTCACTTCAGGAGGAGGTGTGAATTAATTTACCTAAACTGCGACATGGTCATCTTGTGGTAATATTACCAACGATCCATCAGCTAATGTTTTCCCTCTCTCTCTCTCTCTCTCTTGGTAAAGCGCTGTCAACAAATATTTTTCCTTCATATTCCATAATGCACAGCGCATCTGCCTACGGCAGCTGGATTAGTCCAAAACGCGCAGTACTTTTTGCGGTTGGATCTGTTTTAGTACAGATCATATTCTCACCACAAACGAATCGCTCCAGGGTTGTTTGAAAGCGTACCAAGACCACCTCTTCAAGCAGGTCTCGGTATGCTTATTTGGTCCGCTTTTGGTGCGCACTCGAGTACGATTGCTGCATTCTCACCTGCTCAAACGAGCCATACCAAAAGGGAAAACGAACTCTAGTGCGATTTAGTCGAACTAAATAAGGCAGGTGTGAAAGCACCCTTAAAACTCATCTTAAGATGCACCCTTACGGGAAAATCTGGCAATGAAACCTGTAAGGACCAGTTGGACCCTCACAAGGTCAATAGGATGTTTTAGTCCTATACATGATCATTTTTTAAATGTTTTTTTTTATCGTCAAGGGAAACTGAATAAAACAAAATAATAGTATTCATTAAAATAACTTTTAGTAATTTTGTTTTACATTATTTGACAGTACATGTAATTTTTATATTAGAAAATTGTTTTTATATTTAATGATACTTTTCTCTTTCCACAGACACTGTAAAAAAAAAAACCTAAACACCATAGTGTCTGAGGTGTGATCTCTCATCGCAGAAAATGCAACAAAAAATTCCTCCACTTTAAGGATACAGTGAAGCATCAGCTCTATGTTTGGTTTAATGTGTTTTGTTTCACATGTTTTTTCCTGTTTGATTGCACTTTACTTCACACTGTTGTACTTCGTTAATTGTCAATTGAAAAAGTTGAAAATTACAGTTTTCAAGCATTCAAAATCCATGCATTTATTTGTGTTTGTAATGTACTTTTACAGCATATTTGTAATATAATTTAAATACATTTCTGAATGATGTTGTTAATTGTTGAAATAAAGTAGGTCTTGTAGTACTCTGCAAATGTATAGAAAGTATAGTAATAACACAATGTAAAATGTTTAATGTAAAGCTTAAAATATTCTTCTACTAGGCTTAAAATATACTTTAACTAGTTTTAAATTGCACTTTAGGTGTGCTTAAATTATACTTCATCACAACTTAAAGTATACTTCAACTGGGGTTATACTATACTTTAATGCACTGCAGCTGGGCTGAAAATACACTTTATCTAAACTTAAAATATACTTTAACTGTGTTTTAAATATACTTTAACTGTATTTCAAGTACATAATTTAAATGTACTTTAAATAAAATACACTTTTAAAAGTACACTTTAATTGTACTCAAAGTATGTCCATTTTAACACAACTAAGTATGTTACAACATATTTTAAGTAGCTTAAAGTTAATCTTAAGTATATATAAAGTAACAATAAATATGCTTGAAGTTGTTCCAAAATAACACACTTAATATACACTTAGTATAGTACAATTAAAGTATGATAAGTATGTCTTAAAAAGTACAACTTAAGTACACTTTCTTTTCACCTGGGAACATCTAAAGGTTATGTTCATTTTTGTAAAGACAGTTTACACCTCTGAGCTGAATATTAAACCCTGTACCCTGTGCACAGTGATTATACTAATAGATTTCAGGTTTCTTTTATTGATCAGCTTATTGTTTTCTTTTCCTCTTAGCATCACAATCAGAAAAAGGCTTTAAAAAGCTAATCGAGATCTATCAGTCTGATAACACTGACCATCGGAAAACATCAACACAATCAAGCAGCAAAACCATGGAAAGAGACTTTTACAGCCGAGAGACCTTAAATGTTGCCCATAAAATAAAGAACTACTGGAACAGTAAAATATCAGGTGGCAGCAATGAAACCCTGCTTATCTATAAACTTTACCTGAAAGAAAAATGGCAAAACATAGATGGATCCTTCAAAAGATACACATTTGGGGAAAACATCACAAAAGAGAGCAAGACTATTATGATGATCGGAGCCACTGGTGCAGGAAAAACCACTCTCATTAACAGCATGATCAACTACATACTGGGAGTGAAATGGGAAGATGATTTCCGGTTTGTGCTGATAGATGAAGGACAGCAGACATCCCCGGCTGAAAGTCAGACATCAGAGATCACTGCATATAAAATTAATCATATGGATGGTTTCCGAGTTCCATATTCTCTGACTATTGTGGACACACCAGGTCTTGGAAATACCAGAGGAATTAAACAAGACCAGAAAATCACAGCTCAGATTCGGGAGTTCTTCTCTGCCCGTGGAGGAATCGACTGCATTGATGCTGTGTGTTTTGTAGTTCAGGCTTCACTTGCCCGCCTGACACACACACAGAAATATGTCTTTGACTCCATTCTCTCCATATTTGGGAAGGACATTGCTGAAAACATCATGGTGATGGTCACCTTTGCAGACGGGAAAAAACCTCCAGTTCTGGAGCCCATCAAAGTCTCTGAGGTTCCTTGTTCTACAGATGAGTCTGGAGAGCCACTTCACTTCAAGTTTAACAACTCTGCTGTGTTTGCACACAATAATAAATCTGCAGAGGACGAAGACTCTGACTGTGAAAACTTTGACCAAATGTTCTGGAAGCTGGGATTTTCTAGTATGCACAAGTTCTTCACATCCCTCAGCAAGATAAAAACACAGAGTTTAACTCTGACACGAGAGGTCCTGAAAGAGAGAAAGCAGCTTGAGGTGCTTGTGGTAGGCCTGCAGCCGCAGATCAATGCTGCTCTGACAAAACTGGATGAAATAAAGAAGACAAGAGCTGCTCTGAAGCAACACATGCTTGAGATGGAGGCAAACAAGGATTTTGAATATGAAGTAGAAGTAACTGTCCCAAAACAGATTGAAAACCCCACTGGCTACTTCTTGACCAACTGTCAAACGTGTCACTTCACATGTCATGATACATGCACTACTGCAAATGACCGTGATAAACACAAGTGCAGTGCAATGAAAGATGGAAAGTGTCGGGTCTGTCCTGGAAAGTGTGTCTGGAATGTTCACTTCAATCAGAAATATAAATGGACTTATGTCAAAGAAAGGAAAAAGGAAACCTATCAGGATTTAAAAAAGCGATTTGAAGAAGCAAATGGAGAGGTCATGACCAAAGAAAAGATCTTTGCAGAGCTTGAATATGAGCTTGAGGTTGTCCAGAAAATTGTCACTGGACTAATTGGTGACTCTAAGAAGTCTTTGGAGCGTCTGCAGGAAATCGCCCTCAAGCCCAATCCTCTGTCCACCCCTGACTACATCGATCTGATGATTGAGTCCGAGAAACAAGAAGCCAAGCCTGGATTTACAGATCGCATTCAGTCTTTAATGGAGGTCAGGAAGAATGCAGAGACCATCAGTAAGATTCCTACAGGAGGAGCGATTGCTGATAATTTAAAAATTTATAAATTTGATTCCATTAATTCAAAGACCCTGTTCAGTCAAACAATGAAGTATGTTCAAGACAAAATCCAAAGACATTCATTCAAAGAAAAAGTGTCCAATGCTTTTTAGTAAGAGGTAACACTTTAACCCCTTATCTGCCCCTGAGATGATCAACTTTGATTAAAATTAGGGACAGCTTATTCCCGCTCATTTATGCAAAGGTATAGTACTATAATACATTACTAACTCTTAATATCATATTTATATGTATGATATCATAATTACTTATCACTTAATCATTCAGTTATTAGTTATTTAGTTACTAGTTATTAGTTATATAATTATTTTTAATAATTCATTTTTTGTAAATAATTTATTACATACTGTTGATGTCATCGATTCTACCAACACTATTTTACAAATAAATCTACTCAAAGTTCTGGAAATTGTTTCTCTGTAATTTCTATATATAAAGTGTGTTGGGAGGGAGCTGTGTTGGTTATTTTAAAACTGGAAAGTGGCAAGGTTTAAAGGGCAGAGGACATCTAATTTGCATGTGTAACAGGAGAAGATGCCACGTGAGATTTAAACTGATTCTTGAACCAGTTGAATGAGGCTTCGTATGTCACCAATTATGTCATTGCTCCAAAACGATACACTGAAAGCTTCAAGATTACTCAGCATATGCTCTGAAGCCTCACCAAAGAATAAAGCACTTATTTTAATAAGCTTGCAAATGTATTCCCAGTTCTCCGAGTTTATTTTACAGCTGATCAGTAATAATTTGTGTGTGTGGTAGTGATGGGTCGTTCATGAACGATTTGTTGATTTTGAAAGAATCTTCAATATGACTCGGGAACTACGAGTCCTCTCAGGGAGTAATTCAATCATCCGCGAGTGCGCACACTTGTGCAGGTAGTATCGTTCATTTCAAGTCTTCATCACATTTTGAGTCGTTCATCGCAGAAAGGCAGAAGTCAATCATATGTGTATGAGCCCGAAAAAGAATTGATCCGTTCACCTAATGAGTTTTTATCGGGTCTGAGTCACTCGTTCATCACGGGCTAATCATACGCGTTTAGAGCCGGAAAAATAATTGAACCGTTAATCTCTCGAGTCCTCAGGTTTGAGTAATTCTGTCACTTAAATAACGAACGACTCAAAACTTGAAAGGTGAACTGATTATCATGGCTTCTATCGGCTCAGACTGTGAACATTGGTTAAGATTATATGTGACTGTCAGTGTAACATGAACGAACCGCTGACATTTGAAGACATGAAGAGGTGAGCTGAGCAAAGAGACAACAATACCTTCATAGACAAAGAGCAGGTAAACATTGAATTAGTATTTTCTCCTTCTTATATTATTCTATTTATGACTTATTTGTCGTGCGATCAACCTTTTGGGCTAGTTGTAGATGTGTTTGGAAGCAATTCGTAACATTTTAATAACATTTTGGCAAATTGAACCAAATGAACGAAATGACTCGAAAAAAGATTTGTTCATCTTGATGAACGAGACTCAAAGATCCGAGTCAGTAGATGATCCGAACTTCCCATCACTAGTGTGTGGTTTTCCATTGTTGTTTAGACTTATAGTCAGGGTGTTTCATGTATTGTTGTCTCCACTGATGTGATATAACAAGGATTATTCAAGGTTTTATAGGATGTTTGCTATTTTTGTTTTAGTTGTGTTAGTGAGATGGAGTATGAGACAACATTGAAACAGATGTGATGTGAATAATGCAAATAATATTTCTTCAATCAGTGTCTCCTGCTTCTAATCAATTTTCTTAGTGCACTCTTATACTGACTGACCTGAGACGGATAGTTCAGTTATATGTACTCTATATTACACTGATATTACATTTCTACAGTCTATAAAAATGCTGGATTATTTGAACCCAACATTGGGTCAAATGTTAAAAAACAACTGTTGAGTTTAAAAGTATAATTTAACTTTAGCACAATAATTATTGCTGCCATTTATAATGGATGAGGAACAACAAGACACGAAAGTGCTATTGAAGTGAACTTGTTTATTATAAACAAGCTGTGGATGTTTAAATGCTTATAGAAAAAAACTGTTTCACACAAAAATAGTTATAAAAAATAAGACAAAAATTTCACACAAAAAAATTAGCCAAGTTAAACAGACATGTCACTGACTCGGTCCCAGTCATTCCCCTCGCTGGCCAGCAGAGGCCACCATCTCCGGACTTCTAACCATTACGTCATCCATTCACCCTGATTCCAGCACACCTGTTCTCCATCTCACTAATGACCCACATACCACATATAAGCAGCTCTCACTCACACCTCTGTGCGAAGTCTTGTTTAGCCCCGGCCAGCATTTCTGAGCGTTCTATCCTGCCAGATCTCCCGTTGACCACTACAGCCCGTTTCACGACTCTGCTCTGTCTTCTGCCTGCCCTCGACCAAAGCCTGTTTCCTCGGACTCTGATTATCGCCGCCTGCCCCTGACTAAAGCCTGTTACACGGACTCTGAATCACGCTGCCTGCCTCTGACCTAAGCCTGGTAATCACACTGTGTCTGTCATCTGCTACTTCCCCTTTGATGTGTATGTTGTATGTCCGCACAGCCGTGCGAGTTGTTGATGTTTAAGTGTGACTTAATAAATACTGCTAAATGGATCCCTCCATGTCAGTCTCCCCGTTACAACTATGATCACACTAATCACTCAGTGAATCACCTATTAAACATTCTCACTTTGAAATACACACACTTGGCCTTAACACTATTTAATACTTAGACTTAAGTGTTGTAATACTACAGCCTAGGCTGGTTTAAGCTGGATTTTTCTACAAGGTAATTACTAAGTATTTTGAATAATACACTCAATTAACCTTGGTATTTGGCGATCTATTATCTGATAGCGGGCTAACGCGCTAACCGTGAGGCTAAACATGTGCTCTTACATGCAAACTGATAGCATAACGTTACATTCATTATTAAACTACTTAACACAACTTTTTATCATTTTAAACGGTTTATTTTCTCAACGAAAGTGTTCTTTCCAGTGCATTTGTATGTGTGCAAGTACCTGAAATGAAGTTATAAAGAATAAAGAAATAAAACACTGGACACAAGCGCTCTCGTGATGTCTTCATTTACTGTTCACTCAGCATGTATGAAGAGCATCACGGGCGCGCCTGCTACTGGAGCGCGCAGTGACGTCATGACGCAGGTACGGTGACAAAAAAAATAACTCTCTTTAGAAAAACGCATATAATACTTATTTCTCCTCCTTTAAAGTGCAAATAAACAAATAGATATTTTAACAATATTAGAAAAATAACTAACGTTTTATGAAAATCTGAATAAATGTAATATAGCTTGCATAAAATAAATGTATACAATCAGGTTATCACATTTAGTTTTATGATTGTGGTGTGTTTTGTAATGTTTTCTCCACTGATGTGAGATCAGAGTTAATATCTTACATGCAATGTTTACGGAATGTTGTGAGCTGTCTGATATAATAATGATTGTTATAGTTGTGTTGGTCAGATGGGGGTACATGAAGAACACACTAAAATGTGACATGTATTTTGTGATTAATATTTCAATAAAAGCCTGTTCATTAAATATTATCGACAGTTTGTCTCCTGTTTCTGCTCTTTCTGTCCTCAGTGAACTTTTAATACTGACAGAAGACAGTCATGAGGTTAATGCAGTCTTAAGTGAAGTTTATTCATAAACTAATTTCGAGAGGATCACGTGCTTATGATTTATCACGGCTGGTCTCGCATTTGCTAATCACTATCTTCCAATCATATGAGCCCTAAGCTACTATAAATAGCCACAGTTTTCAGTTTACTTTATCTTCGTTTGGAAGAAACCCCCCTCCTCCCCTATTCTCCTCCTTTACCTGTGATTGGGCGGCACGGCGGCCCTGTGGTTAGCACTGTGAGCCACACAGCAAGAACACTGCCAGCCCTGGTTCCACAGGACCGGTGGGTGTTTCTGTGAGGAGTTTGTATGTCCTCCCTGTGTCCGCGTGGGTTTTCCCCGGGTTCTCCAGTTTCCTCCCACTATCCAAAGACATTCAACATGCATAACAATCAAGCTTGTCTAATCCCTTGCGTTCCCTTAGCTACAGCGGCAGGGGAGTTCTGAGATCCACCGAGCTCAGGCTCCCCTCTTGCTCTGCCAACGGGAGGAAGCCCCGGGCTCGAGGTGCCCTTGAGCTCGGGGCTCTCTCCCGGGACAGCATGCCAAACAAGCTTTTGTAAATCATCAGCTAAGTGTGAACTCTTGAAATGCTTTCTAACGGGTTTCAGTGTTCAGCAGCTCTTCACTGTCAAAAAAAAAATGCTAGGTTACACAGAATTGATTTGTTTTGGGAAAACATGAAGGAATTAAGTTCACTTATTAGCCCTTACAAATTTAAGTGGATTGAAAATAAAACATTTAAGTTGTCAAGGCTTATGTTGTTTAAGCTCATTTAAAGAATTGGTTTGAACAAACAGCAAACATCATTTTTTGATTGTTCTGACTACTTCAAGTGTCTTGCAATTTTGAGAATAAGGTTGAGATGGTGAACATGAACCTGAATGTACAGGGGATGTGCACTGACAGTGTTAGTAAAGATAAAATCATGGCACAAAAAGAAAAGAATCAAAGGATTAAATGGTATTGCCGCGATCACCAGAGATCTAATGCTGTGTTTACACCAGATGCGTGAACATTTGAGTTACTTCATTCACGCGTCAAAATCCGCCTCTTTCGTGCGTCAAATTCACTTCACAACTGACTTGGATTCACGTGATGGGCAGGGTTTTATGTCTGCCTTGTGGCTTCGTTGCTAAATGGCTAACATGGATTTTATTAAGAAAAAAACTGTGTTTATGTGCTTAATGAAGGCTGAAAAACAGCATCAATCGTTTGGAGCCGTGTTTGAGTCCACTAGATCCTTTCAGAGGTGCGACCAGCTCTCTGAGCTCATAAACTCCTCCAGAAACTTAACCTGGGTGATGGAAGCTTTCACCGGTGCTTCTGACTGAGCCGAGCCCAGTTTAATGAACTGTTGTGGGTGTAGGCAGGAGGATTTTCCCCCAGAACACCAACTACAGGCACTACATCATAATCACGCCCCCACAAGAGCAAGCTTGGTTAATGCGGCGTGAATGTAAGCTGAAGTTCAGATATTCAAACTTGAGCGATTCGCAAGGTAATCTCGTCAAACATGCAAAACGCTCGATTCTCGCCAAGCCATTCGCGCATATAGCGCTATTCAAGCAATTCGCGTCATTCAAGCCGCACCATTTACGCGTATTGTGCCACAGAATGTCTATTCATGTCTTTGCATCGACTTAACATGTAAATCACTCGCGCTTGACGCTTCTTCTGCGTCTGGTGTGAACGTAGCATTACACTCATAGATCGCTGCAGTCTGAACAGTCACATTCACACAGACTACAA